ATACAGGGACCCCTACAAGTGATGTCTCATCCGGGATAACCACTCTGGGTGGGACCCCTGGGTCCTCCCTAGAGGATTCTTTGAATAGGAAGTATTTCATTGCAGGTGGCCAACAGGCCGTTATGGGAAGTCAGCCTCTGGCTCCTCCCCTTGTTTGTGTGTGTGTGTTGGGGGAGGGATTGGAGGTGCTTTTTCTGCCCCATCCTCCCCAGGGCCAGGACTGGCTACTCTGCTCCTCTGCCAGCCACAGCTCACTACCATAGTGACAGGCTACACCCCTCCCTGTGTGGGTGACAGCACTCTCTGAGCACGCCTTGACAGTGTCTTTGTTCCTCGGAAATAAAAGAAAATCGAGCTACAAAGGGAAACCTCAGGTAGCTTTTAGCAGGTCTCAGCTGCCTGGGGCAGAGTGTGTTTAAGCTGGAGGCACTTGTCACGGGAGCTGGAGGGGAGCGCCTCAGACCCCGCCCAGTCCCTACGTTGTAAGACGGGTGGGAGGGTGGAAGTCCCACGATCACGTTTACTTAAGAAAAAAGCTCTTTCAAATAATGCAGAGGAGAAAAAAAATCAATGAAAATTGATAGAGAATGTAAAACAGGGTTTCGTGTGTGTGTGTGTGTGTGTGTGTGTGTGAGAGAGAGAGAGAGAGAGAGAGAGAGAGAGAGAGAGAGAGAGAGAGAGAGAGAGAGAGAGAGAGAGAGAGAGAGAGAGAGAGAGAGAGAGAGGCATTTGTCAGGACCAGGACCAAAACTGACCTGCTTGGGGCCCCAGGCCCAAGAAGGTGGGGGCTGGGAGTCAATCCCTGGCACGTGCCTGCCGAAGGACGCTGGTGATTGAGGGGGGAGGGGTGGCAGCTGAGTCTCTAACTCGAGTTAAGAGAGAGATTAATATATTCAATCTGCTCCAGGGTAATTGAGGGAACAATTGGAGTGTTTTTCTAAAGCCCATAAAACTGCCTCATTTGCAAGGAAGAGCCGCCTTGCTGCAGCCGCAGATTTGATGGAGGCAGAAGAGGCAGAGAAAGGGCCGACTTTGGGATCCTAGTCCAGGGCAGCCGCATCAGCCAGGCAAGGGACTGGCAGTCCAGTTCTAACCTGCTCTCTCCTGCTGGACCTCCTCTTGCTCTTTTTGTAGTCTCAGCATTGTTTTCCCAAACCTGTGAAATGGGCCACAGCTCTCCTCTCTGAAGCTTTGAAGGACGAGGAAAGTGGGCTGGCACTGAGGGACAGGACAGGGGCGCGAACAAGGAGGTGCAAACAAGGAGGTGCCCAGGTCTCCCTCGCCACCCTTCCAGGCCAGCCCCCATGAGAGTGAATGGGCAGAAAAGAGTGGAGTTAATGAAATCCACATCGCGTGCCTCTCCCGCTTGAACCACTCCAGTCTCCAGGGCAATGGGAAAAGCACAGGCAATAGCCAGCAATAAAAGGCATAATGAATTTAAAAGCGGCTCGGAGAGGGAGAGCGAAGACTGGCAGGGCTCTGGCCTGAAGCTGAAGGGTTCCTGGGGTAGCAAAAGTGTTGGCCTGCAGCTCTAAGCCAGAATCAGGACTAGGAACAAGCAGGCTGAATGGGGGAGGGGGCGAGGAGAGGGAGGGAACAAAGGGAAAGGAAAGGCGGCCGCACCTAGGTGTGGGGACAGAGGGTAGAGGTGAGGTTAGGCAAGCCACTCCGCTGGCTGCTCGGTTCTCCTCCACTTCCCCTTAACAAAAGCCCCCAGCTTGTTAGAGCTGGAGCCACGGTCAGAATCCACAGGCTTACCACCAGGTGTTTAGCATTTGGTGATTGCTTTATTAGTTTTCTTCTTCCTTTCTCTGTTCCTCCGGGGCAAATATAATAATAATAATAAAATAAAAAGGTGTTTTAAATGGAAGAAATAAAAAAAAAATTGAAAGCGTCTTTTAAAAGTCTCCCGGGAAACAGAATCATTCCCACGGAACAAAACTGCGATTGTCTGGGAGCCGCAACTGCGGTGAGGGCCTCCACCACACCCTCCTCCCTCTTCCTCGGGAACCACAGGGCCTTGCAGGAGGAAATTGAGGTTTTCAATGGCAGGCATCCCCAAGGTGGCCTCCAGAGCTACTAGCAAGGAATTAAACTCATGTTTCCAGGAACTCCATCCCTGGGAATCTCCCGCTCTAAGTGTCCCTCTTCAACAGCCCTGCCTGTGGGAAGATGTCCCTGAACTTTCAGGATGTGATGGCCTTTGAGGGAAGGGAAGTCCTTTTCCTTTTCTACCCTCTGAGAAGCATAATTTTGGGGAGTTGGTTGAGCTCAGACTTGCCTGCACTTTCTACCTCCCCCCCTCCCCCAGAGTCTCCAGTACCTAGCCTGTGTAGGCCACCTACCTCCTTTCTGAGCACTGCCCCAGTAATAGTACCAGGTGTAGTACTAGGTGTGGGCAGGCATCTAAGGATGCCCCTGTGTCCGGGAAGGGTGACAGCCTGTGGCTGCAGGGAACCTGAGGTAGCTTCTGCCTGTGTGCTCCTAGGGTCCTTCTTTGTGAGTTAGGACAGCCCCGAGGGACCTCCATCCTGAGTCTCTGACTGTCCCCGTTAGAAATATTCATGGGAACAGCTCCTGCTAACCGCCCCCACCTCCGGGAAAATATTAGCTCAGAGCAACTGTATTTGGTGCAGCCTGTTAGAACCAAGCCCTGGTGCACCGTGGCCAGGATGCAAAAGGATTCAGACTCAGTCAGCAGACATTCACACTGAGCTCTGGTCTTGTTCACACGCGGAGTCCTGCCTGTCACTGCAACCCAGTCACACGTCAGCCTGCCCTTAGCCCCATTGTTCTATTGCCCCCTCCCCATGACTTTCGTCTGTTGTGTCTTGGGAAAAATGGCACACGCTATGTAAAGAAAAACACACACACACACACACTCATAAAAGTAGAGTTCTAAATTAAATAGATTGTTGAGACACCTGGTCCCAACAGGGCTGAGAATAGTTTGGAAGCAATGACATCCATGCTGGGAAATCCTGGAGGAAATGGTTTTGAACTGAAGCTTCTGTTCCTGGACCTGAACTGAATTTTGTTGAAGTTGCTCTGGAGCCCCCAAATGAAATTCTCTGTTGCCCCTTCTATTTCTCCTTCTATTTCGCCCGTGTCTCTCCAGTTCCCTGGACTGTCAACCAGAAAGCCAAGGGAAGCCTCCCTCTCCCTGGTAAAGTCCCCCCTTCCTTAAGCAATCCTCTTATCTGGCATCCTTGCCCCTCTTCACAGGGCAGGGAGGCAGCACGACCATAAGGATCCCTATGGTTCTAGCCCACGGGTCCAAAGAAATACTGAGCCCCTCTGGCCACCAAGTGACGACAGGGACAGAAGCCTGCCTTCCGTAGCCTGGGCTGCTGGGCCAAGTCTGTCTAAGTACAAGCCTGTATCGTTCATGAGGAACCCTCCATTGTCTGTGGGCTCCGGCACTGTCATCAGGGCTGTGATTGCTGACCCCCCCACCCCCACCTAAGGGGAGCGATTTTCCTCTCCCTTGAAAGCTATTTTCTTGTCTTGGTAGAAGCAGACATCTGACACTTTAAGAGGGAGTGTGGTGCAGAGATGATGGCTTTAAATAACAGAAATTAGAGCTGCCGAGGTCGAGGCAGCCATCTAGCCAGCCCTTCCCCCCCAAGTAGTCCCAACCTCTTTCACCCCCATTTCACAGCATAGCCTGAATGCCCTGTCCTAGCAGCTCAGGCTGTCCAGGACAAAGAGCAGGGACAGCTTGTTTCAGGGTTCTGAGCCTCCTCCCTAGATAATAGCCGTAGACAGAGGGGCAGGGCCCCAGGCCCTGGACACAGGAAGCTTTCAGACTCACCTCGGCTACCCATCTCATTTCTCAATGGAACAGAATGGAGCTGAGCACAGACAGGGTCGGGAAGGTCTGTTAATTGATTCAGAAATGAATGGACAGAAATTAGAGTGGGCCATGTTAGTAGGCCAGGGAGGCCTGGGCAAGAGCAGCTGTTCCTGGGTCCCTGTCACATGCTTCCTGCTTATTTTACCTAAACTCCCCTCTTTACAGACCCCCTTCCTGCGTCCTCCTTTTTGCCTTCAGAATTGAATACTCACCTCTGCTCTCTGAGTTTCAGTTCCTCCCACATCTTCCCCCACTGGGCTTTTCCACAACACAGTCTACCTCCTGGGCCTCCTGGGCCTACTCAGTGCCAGCCTAGATTGTGCACAAGAGAGAGAGGGGGGCAAGACAGGGAAAGAGATACACATAGAGGCAGAGACAGACAGACACACAGACGGAGGGAGAGAGAGCAGGAGGACTATGCCTTTGGAGTATCTTCAGTTAGTCCCTCTGCCAGCTGAGCCATCCCCTTCTCTTTGCTAGCTTATCCTGGAACCTTCTCCCCTAAGCCTCAAATTGCCACCCCTACACCTCACCCACCTTGTGTGGATCCAACACAGCCAAATATGGGATGGAGGAGTAAATAGATAAACGAGGAGAAGGAACAGACTCTCCCAAAGGACACACCTGAGAACTCCTTTCCTGGCCCTACACTTCCTCTTCAGAGCGTCCTGCCAGCCTTGAGCACCATGAGCGGGCCACACCCATATTGTAGCCAACCATATTGTATCTAGTGACACTCTGTGCTCAGGGGCTGACCTAGCCATGGATGCCACATGCTACTGCATTCCGAGATTCCCAATAGATGTTGAAATTTAGTGGAATCTAGAATCCTGGGTGTGTTTTCTCCACCTGTGAAATGAACCACTGCTTGCTTGCTCTGTGGATTCTCTACTGGGCATGACACCTGGATGCAGAACTTGGCCACAGTGGGAGACCTTCCACAAAAGGGCTAGCACCCCTCGCCTGAGCCTGATGCCGCCAGGGTCCTTGTTCCCAGCTAAGCCCTTCCTGGTCACTATTGGAGTTGGATGAGCCTTATCACTCACGACCTCCCTGGAAGTCTGCTGAGGATGTAGGAGATTGAAGTCGGGGACTGTATGGCTGTAGACAGCTGTGTCCTGAGCAGGTACCCAGGTGTACCCACCTGTAGTTCTGGCTGGCTGGGCTCCACAAGGTGGCTTGAGACAGAGGACCTAGGGGCTCGGTGCGCGTGGAAGGCGACACTGTAGGTCAGGCCTCCACAGTGGCGGGCTGTGGGGTCCTCACTGGCTCGGAGAAGAGGCAGGTTGCCACAGTAGCGGTACAGGTCCTCGTGCTCCTGGGCTGTGAGGTTCATTCGGGGCTCATCTGGTCGTGGGTAGATTGGGAAGATAGCCTCACCCACCCTCCGGGCCACCTGTCCTGAGGGTCCATCCAGCCTCAGTGCCTCTACACGCAGATGTGTGTCATTCTGCCCATCATTCTTGCAGAATCCTGGGTGGAGAACATGGGGTCGGATATGGTCTCCAGGGTCTCCGTCCTTCTACCAGGGAGGAAGAAGGACATCCAGGGCCCTGGGGCAAATTATGAGCCGAACCCAAGTGTGCTTGGCTAAGATTTCTCTTGTGGGCAGCCCCTCTCAGGCTTCGCCCAAGGCTCCTTCCCTTTTCCCATGCCTCATGTGAGCCCACCAGAGTGAGGAAGGAAAGGCTTACACCTATGGGAACCATTCTGGGTCCTGACACCACTCTGGACCAGGGAAGAGTTTGGCCAGTGCCTGATTTCTAGCCAACCATAGTCTTCTACTTCCACCAAAAAGCCTGCCTGGGTAGCTCTCATTCTAAGCCTGGATTTTCTAAATCACTTAGCCATTTTTTGACTTAAGATTTTTGCCTCTTTGCACCCAGTCTGGAAGGCCCCAGAAGGCAAGACCAGGGTCTCCTATCCATCCATGTCTGTCCATTCTCCATTCCTATAACCAGCGGGTGCTTAGGGGACTTCTAGCATTATTCCATATAATGTTCACTGCTTACGACTGGCTCTAAACATGCTTTGGGCTTGCCTCTCTCGAATTCATACATCCCCTTTAGTTCTTCTTCACCCCTGCCCCCTGTGAGAACAGTGTCAGCACCCCCATGTTACAATGAAGGAAGCAGGGACTTGTACAGGGCCAGCATTTGTCCAAGGTCACACAGTCACATAGGCAGAGCTTGGATGTCTGTCTAGAACTCTGCCCATGGCTCTCCCAGTTCCCTTTGATTTCCCAGGGCTCTGACGAGGTCTAGGGCAGAAGTCCCAAGGACCCTCCTTCCCCCCAACCCCGACTCCTCTTTGTACCTTTGGGCAAAGTAAAGACAAATTTGTTCCTGGTGAAGGTAAGGCTCTGCTCAGGATCCTGCTGCTCAATGACCTCAGTGACAGCAGAGCAGGCTGGGACGGGGTCCCCATCATTGACTCGCAACTGCACTCCAGCCCCGGAGCCTGCCTGCAGTGGATTCTCAGCTGACAGCCTCAGGGCATATCTGCCCTCCTCATTAAATCCCACACTCAAGACCTCAAACTCCAGGTCCAGTGTCATCTCTTCTGCCTTTAGCCTTGGGCTCAGCAGGGATGCAGGCAGATGGCGATCAGAACCTCTGAAGGCCATGGCTTCTCCAGGCCGAGCTCTGTCCTCTCCTGCTCACAGTTCCATCCCAGTCTGGAGCAGACAGATTGGACATTTGGGGCCACACCTCACCCTTCTCTGTTTGTTTGAGAAGGATCCAGGCAACAAGCCAGGAAACCGAGTCTGAACTGGGGAACAAAAGTAGCAATTCATTCTTCCTATTTAGTGTTTGATCTTCCAGCAAATATTTATTGAGAGCCTACTGTATGTGAGGTGCTGTTTTCGGCATTTTGAACATAGCAGCAAACCAAACACACATTCCTGACCCCCTCCCCCTGAAACCTGTCTTCTAGTGAAGGCAGTAGGTAGAGAAGACAAAGATAAACATGAATTATGGAAACAAATCACTAGCTCAGCCAGTTAATTACTTGCTGTACATGCATGGGAACCTAGGTTTGATTCCCAGAACCCATGTAAGCTGGGAATGGAGGCTCATGTTTATCATCTCAGCGCTGGGAAGGCCTAGTTAGGTAGATTCCTGGAGCCGGCCTGTCACTCTAGAAGAATCAGTGAGCTCCTGTCTCAAAAAAGTAAAAGGTTCCTGAGGAATAATGCCCAAGGTTTATGGCTGGCTTCTACATGTGTGCCTGTATGTACATGTGTGCTCATAAACATATACACTCTTACACCTATACACATAGTCTATGTACAAATGTACGCCTGCATGCGTGTGCGCACACGCACACACACACAAAACCTCAAGTTCTTAAGTATGCAAAGAGATGATATTTTCTATGCAGTCTATAAAACATGAGGGGCACGCGGTAGTCAGAACTTTCTATTTCTCGGGTGTCTATTTCAGTGGACTGGGAGAGGCCTCCAGGGCAGGGAAATGTGTCTATCAGTATATGTTTCTGCAGCCAGCTTACTTAATCAAGACACACAGCTTCACTTTATAGAGAGAACTCGGTCTCTCACACCTAGGTAGTCAGTCAGGGATCTCTTCTCCCTGGTCCTGGGTTTAATTGCAGCCAGAGGATCCTAGACACTCCTCAATAAAAACTAAGTTTACTGTCATCATACCACTGTCACCATGACCATTACCCTCACCACCACCATCATCACCACAACTATTACCACTATCATCACCACAACCATCAGCACCACCACCACAACCATCACCACTACCATCCTCACCACCACCATCCTCACCACCATCATCACCACCACCACAGCCATCACTATCAACAAAACCATTATCACCACCACAGTCATTATATTATTATTGGATTAATATTGAATAATTATATAATTATAAAATATTGTTGAGCCGGGCGACGGTGGCGCACGCCTTTAATCCCAGCACTCGGGAGGCAGAGGCAGGCGGATCTCTGTGAGTTCGAGACCAGCCTGGTCTACAAGAGCTAGTTCCAGGACAGGCTCCAAAACCACAGAGAAACCCTGTCTCGAAAAAAAATCAAAAAAAAAAAATATTGTTGGATTCTCATTATACAATAATATCAGTATCACTACCATTAGCCATACTTTCTACTGAGCAGTTTCTGGGCATTAGACATTCTTGTGGATCTATAAGGCAACACAACTATTTCCTGTTTTCTAGATGGAGAATATGAGACTGAAAGAATGTCCAGACACTTGAGAATTGAGGTCTGGACCCAAGAAGTGCAGTCTAGCTACATATGTGATGCCTCTCCTGGGGAAATTCAGTCGCCTGAAGCTACAGAAGGACAGTTTTGAGTCTGTAGGGCATGTTTATGATGAGCACGGTTTACATTCACAGCGGTTCACCTGCAGTTAGCCATGTCAGCTGACGTCATTTCCTGAAGGAAAGACACTGTTCTGAAGACGGCTGTAGGCAAGTGCAGCTAAGGGTCCCAGCAGCTGTGGGCTTCCTTTACAACTGTCCCCAAGGTGACACTAAGGGAGAGCTCCAGTGACCTAGCGTGTAGGCTGCATTCAGTAGATCCCTTCTCTCTGGATGTTGGTGCCCCTTCTGTGTGACGGGCAGCAGCGGGGTAGGTGAGCCATCCTGTAGCTCTAACAGTTGGGAACTCTGTCAGTCACACAGGGAAAATGGCACAGAACGGCTGTTGGGGGAGATGGTGGGTGGCGGAGGCTGCCTGAGAATCCTCATGCGGCCAGTTACAGACTGGAGGCTGAACTTGTCTCTGCCAGGCCTGTCCTGAAACGAAATGGTTTGGTACAAACAGCTCTCTTCCCTCGCATGTCTGAAGGCACTCCCAGCGTCGTCAAAGATGAGAGGACATCTTGCCTGCCCCAAGACTCTGTGACCTCAGCACACTGCCCCCTGCCCCCTGCTCCAACAGACAGGGCTTGTGTGCGCAATTGTGTCTCTTTCTAGTCAGTTCTCCCAGTCCCTTCAGCACTGCCATCCTCCCTGCTGCCCCCTCCATCTGTTCACACAGCCTCTGGGGTGGCTTGTTGGCTTCCGCGTGAATTTAGGACCCTCCACTGTCTGGCATCCCTTCTTTTCCAAGTATCCCCTTCCCACTCTGCCTCCAGGGTAGGCTCACTCGTGTGTGTGTGTGTGTGTGTGTGTGTGTGTGTGTGTGTGCCAGCGTGTGCGCGCATGTACTTCAAACAAACATACAGAAACTAGGTTGACAGGATGGCTCAGTGGGCAAAAGGCACTGGCTGCCAAAATGACAATTTGAGTTTGATCCCTGAGACCTACATGGTGGAAGAGAAACAACTCCCAAAAAACTGTCCTCTGACTTCCACATGAGCTCTGTGGAACAAACGTTCACTCACACACACAATAAATAGACAGACAAGCAGATGAAATAAAAATTTTTTAAAGTAAATAACAGTAAAAGTCAAGGATCTGGGGATGTAAGCCCAGTTACTAGGATTCTTGCCTGGCACACACCAAAGCCTTAGGTTTGATTTCAGCATCACATAAAGATGAATGTAATACAAGAGGTAGAGGGATGCAGGTGGTCTAGGTGCTAGCCTTTAATTCCAGCTCTCAGGAGGCAGAGGCAGATGAATCTGAGTTCGAAGTCAGCCTTGTCTACAGAGTGAGTTCCAGGACACCCAGGGCTGTTACACAGAGAAACTCTGTCTCGGGGGTGGGGGGGTGGGGGGAGGTAGAGGCAGGAAGATCAGAAGTTCCAGGTCATTCTTGACTACATATCACGTTTGAGGTCAGCCTGGGCTACATAAAGAAAAAAAGCAACAACAAAACATCAATGATTTTTAACATTACTTAGATAGATATAAACAGACAGATAATGTTTTTAAAAGTATATTTCAGGAGTATGTTCTCTTTGCTGTGTTATCAAATTCTAGAACTTGTTATTTCATAAGACAGAAACTGTCCCGCATTAAAAAGCAGCTCCCTCCCGCAGCCTTCATTCCCTGGCAACTTGCTTTCTGCTCCTGGGTCTGTGTGCCCATTGTCCAGGCCCACTCCAGGTGCTCCTATGAAGGAAGCCTCACAACGCTGTCCTTTCAGACTGGCTCACTTCCCCGTGAGCAGGATAGCATCCTGGGGAAGGCTCAGGTTGCACCAGGCCAGGCCCATCCTGCACCTATGCACTGCCCTCCCCTGCCTTTGCTGGTGTTGTTCTTCGGCCCACACTGCCCAGGTCCTTCTGAAGCAAGATTGCTCCTTCTGCAGCCTGAGGAAACTTTCCCTTCAGCCCGTCCAGCGGTGCTGTCCTTGGTTTCCCTGCACCCTTTCCTGATCTGTTGCAACCCATGACCTACCCATCCTCTATTGGTGTTTCTTTGAGGAACACGCAATGTTTTGTGTGTCCAGGTCAGTAAAGGACCCGGGAGGGATTAAGGCATCATGGAGTGAATGAATGAGTGTATTGATTGATAAAGACAACTTAGCCAGGGCTGGAGAGATGGCTTAGCTGCTGAGAGCACTGGCTGTCCTTCCAGAGGACCCAGGTTCGATTCCCAGCACCCACACAGTGGCTCACAATCTTCTATAACTCCAGTCCCAGAAAATCCAACTCCCTCCTCCTTTGTGGGCTCTGCATACACTTGATGCGCAAACGTACATGCAGGCAATACACTCATACACATTAAATATGATAGCAAGAAATTAAACACAACTCAGCTTCTGTTTGTGGCTATTTCATGTGGATTCCATCTGTGAGAGGTGAAGGAACTTTACTCACCTTGAGGAGCCTTGGTGTGCCCAGAAGGGCAGAAAGCCGTGACTATGTGCTACGCAGCAGGACGGGGGCAAGACCTCCTGATATTTCAAGTTTTCAGGAGAATTCTGGCCTCTGATCTTCAGAGATGGTCTTAGCATCTTAGCATGTCAGGACTAGACGGCATCCACATTTTACACTTGGGGAAACTGAGTCCAACCCTGGACAGAAAGATGGGTCTAGACTCCCATCTTTAATGGTTTTCAAAAGGCTCAAACCTTAGGGGAGGTTGTGCTGGGTGGCAGGGCCTGTACCCTTTGAGTATGCAGGAAGGTGTAGGGAACCAGTAGTCGAAGGCTGACTGCCAAGACACCTTCTGCAGTCCCACCATGAAAGCCTTAATGGGGCCCTGGACTCCCCTTTCTTCTGCCAAAGAATGGCCACTTAGAGGCTGCTGGGGTCTGAAGGGCCAGGGCCTGTAATTAGTCTCCCCCGAGCTCCTCTTCCTGTTTCCCACAGTGACTCTTTTCAGTCTGCCTGCCAGTATCCCCAGGACTCCTGAGGGCTCTTAGGCCCCCATCGCTAGGCACCTACCTCCCACTCCCTTTCCACCCACCCACTTCTGGCCTCAGCATAGAGCTGAGTTCTCACCAAGAGCAGGGACGTCTGAGAGTCCCCTGGATGCCTGTGGGACCTGTGGCTGCACACATCTCCTTCCAGCAGAGGAAACAGGCCAGAGAGAACAGGTGGGTGGGGTGGGTAGACTTGGATTTCCTGATGTACAGTCTGTGGGATCCATAGATCACCCCAAACCCCCATAGGCCTGCATCCTGCATTCTCTCAGCTCCTCCAAAACCTCCCTCCTTCTCAAGCCCACCCTGTTCCCTTCAGGTCTGAGTGTCACAGG